CTACTCTAACAGGAAGCCCATAATGGTGCATTGTATCTTTGGATATCAGGATCAATTCAGATCTGTATTCAAACAATCTTCAAGTGATCTTGATAATTTTTTTTCCCCAGTGAGTGATTACCCAAGTGCGTGGTCATAGGACCCCTAGGAAAGGACTAGGGGAATGACTATTCCAATTGTTCTCAAAGTATGGTTCTCAGCTGCCTAGAGGTCACCAAGACCCTTTCAGTAGGTCCAAAAGGTAAAAATGATTTTTATAATAATAATAATTAATAATAATAGTAATACAATGACATTATTTTTCTTTCTTACTGTGCTGACTTTTCCACTGATCGTGCAATAGAAATGTTGGTAAAAATTACTGGTCCCTTTAATGGCAGAATAGGAGATTCCAGCCCTCAAACCCACACAGAAACACCAATTTTAACAACCATATGTGGATGAGAATACCTTTATGGGAGCCCAGGAGTCCAGCTGAGAGGTTGTAGTACCACAGTGAAGCAAAAAATCAAGAATAGACACATTGAAGACAGTAAGAACAGTTTCACTTTGCCAATATCACTCCTCCCCCCAAGGCAGCACAGCTCAGTCCCAAGAGAAACTCCCTCAGCCTGTGATTTCTCCTGTGGGGGAAAATTAGAGCAAAGTGAGGACCCAGCTTCCCTAGCCTTACAGGATGCTGCCCAAGAGGCCCACTTTTCTGACCCCTGAGGAATTCTGAGGGGATCAGCACAGCTGAATTGTCTGGGGCAGCTAGGAGTAGGCAAAAGAGGTGGGGAGTCATGGCAACTGGAGCATGAAACTCAACAACTGGCCACAGATTCTACTGGCTGGCTTGTGAATTCCACTATGAGCCCCACCCAAAAGCCCTGTGGGAGTCTTCATTTGTGGACCCCGTTAATTAGCTGATGTGCTTCCCAAGTATTCCATAGGTCCCCTCTGTGGCTGGCACCACACTTTTCCACAGATAACAGGCACCCTTGCAGACAGTGTGCATGGATATCAGCAGCTGTTTGATTCTGATGGTTTGGGAGAAGGTGCACAACCTTGAATAATTCAGAGAATTGCCCTGAGGTAAATGAGAGGCTCTCAGCATTCTGTCTGACTTTGCAGGATTAAGAGAAGACACATAATCTTAAGACTTCCTTCCCAAGAGAGAGCAAGGGGAATGGAGAAGATTCATAGAAAGGTCTGAGAGACACCCCTCCCCCCCACTGAATCTCTAGCTGAGCTGACTGGTGAAGGTCTTTCTTTCCAGAAGCCTGTCAGTAAAGACTGGGAGAGGTGCCTTCTTCTTCAAATGTGAAGACAGCAATACAAGGAATACAAAAAATCAAGAAAACTTGATACTACCAAAGAAACAAAATCAAGTTCCAATGGCTAACCTTAAAGGAAATGGAGATATGGAAATTGCCTGACAAAGAATTCAAAATAATTATTTTAAAGAAGCTCAGTGAGCTACAAGAATATATAGAAAGACAACCAAATGAAATCCGAAAAACACTATATGAACAAAAGGAGAGTTCAAAAAAGAGATAGAAGCCATAAAAAAAGAACCAAACATAAATTCTGGAGCTGAATAATATTGACTGAACTGAAAAATTCAATAGAGAGCTTCAACAGCACACTCATCGAGCAGAAGAAAGAATTAGTGAAGTCAAAGACATATCATTTGAAATTATCCATACAGAGTAACAAAAACAAAAAAGAGTGAGAAAAATCTATGGGTCTTATGGGACACCAAGAAACAAAACAATATACACATTATGGGAATCCCAGAGGAACATGAAGAGAAAGGAGCAGAAAACTTGTTTAAAGAATTAATAACAGACAGCTTCCCAAATCTGAGGAGGGAAATGAACATCCAGATCCATGAAGCCAAAAGAACTCCAAATAAATTTTCCATAAAGAAGTCTTCACTGAGACACATAATCAAATGGCAAAGAGAGAACTTTGAAAGCAGCAAGAGAAAAGTGACTGGTCCTATATAAGAGAACCCCATAAGACTACTATATTTCTCAGCAGAAAGCTTGCAGTCTAGGAGAGTAGGATGATAAATTCAAAGTGCTGAAAGAAAAAATTCTGCCAACCAAGAATACTTTACCTGGCAAAGCTATCCTTAAGAAATGAAGGAGAGATAAAGACTTTCCTAGAAAAAACAAAAGCCGAAGGAGTTCATCACTGTTAGACCTGTCTACAAGAAATTGTAAAGAGAGTTCCTCAAATTGAAATATAGGATGCTAATCAGGAACATGAAGATATATGAAAGTATAAAATACACTGGTAAAGGTAAATATATAATTAAATTCAGAATACTCTAATACTGTAATGGTGGTGCACAAATCACTTTTAACTCTAGTACAATTGTTAAAAGACAAAAGTATTAAAAATAACTATTGTTACAATTATCTGTTAATGAATACACAAATTTAAAATATATAAATTGTGACATCAATAAAATAAAATGTGGGTGGGGGCAAGAATTAAAAGTGTAGAGTATTTGTGTGCGATTGAAGTTAAGTTGTAATCAACTTAAAACTGACCATTATAACTATAAGATGTTTTATGTAAGCCGCATAGTAACTACAAAGAAAAAACTTCTGGTAGATACACAAAAGATATAGAGAAAAGAATCAAAACATACCACTACAAAAACTCATCAAATCACACAGGAAGACAGCAAGAAAGGAAGAAAGGAACAAAAGAAATTCAAGACAGTCAGAAAACAATTAACAAAATGACAACAGTAAATCCTTACCTATTAATAACTATTTTAATGTAAACGGACTAAAATTCTCCAATCAAAAGGCACACAATAGCGGAATGGATTAAAAAAAACAAGATGCAACAATACGCTGCCTACAAGAGATTGACTTTAGGTTTGAGGATACACCGAGGCTGAAAGTGAAGGGATGGAAAAAGATAGTCCACGCAAATGAAAACCAAAAGAAAGCAGGGATGGCTATATTTATATCAGACAAAACAGACTTTAAGTCAAAAACTCTAGGGGCTGGCTGCGTGGCTTAGCAGTTAAGAGCCCGCGCTCCGCTACTGGCGGCCTGGGTTCGGATCCTGGGCATGCAGCGATGCACAGCTTGTCCGGCCATGCTGAGGTGGCGTCCCACATATAGCAACTAGAAGGATGTGCATCTATAACATACAACTATCTACTGGGGCTTTGGGGAAAAAAAAAAGGAGGAGGATTGGCAACAGATGTTAGCTCAGAGCCGGTCTTCCTCAGCAAAAAGAGGAGGATTGGCATGGATGTTAGCTCAGGGCTGATCTTCCTCACATACACACACACAAAAAATAACTCTAACAAGAGACAAAGAATGTCTTTGTATAGTGAATAAGGAGTCAATTCATCAAGAGGATATAACACTTGTAAATATTTATGCACGCCAAATTGGAGCACCTAGATATAAAGCAAATATTAACAGAACTGAAGGGAGAAATAGATAGCAATACAATAATTGTAGGAAACTTTTAATTACCCATGTTCAAAAATGGATAGATCATCCATATATAAAATCAATAAGGAAACAGTAGACTTGAACAACACTGTAGAGCAAATGGCCTAACAGACGTATACAGAACATTCCATCTACAGCAGCAGAATATACATCCTTCTCAAGTGCACACACAACATTCTACAGGATAAATCACATATTTTAAAAAATTGTTGTTTTTGGGCCGGCCCCGTGGCTTAGTGGTTAAGTGCACGTGCTCCGCTGCTGGTGGCCCGGGTTTGCATCCCGGGCGCGCACCTATGCACTGCTTCTCCGGCCATGCTGAGGCCGCGTCCCACATACGGCAACTAGAAGGCTATGCAACTATGACATACAACTATCTACTGGGGCTTTGGGGGGAAAACAAATTAAAAAATTGTTGTTTTTAAAAAAACAATACTACAAAACAGAAGTTTTCAGAAACCAAACTTGAAGTAGATTTGGTGCCCACTACTGCACCAAACAACTTTAATCAGGGGGCGGCATCTGGAGAAAGGACTATAATCAGCTCAGCTCATGTGATGTGCCCATGATGGACAATACACTGTGGCTAGGGAAGGAGTGCAGGCAGGGTTACCCTGTACAAAATCGTTGTCAGGTACAAAATAAGGTGTCTCATAAATGGGAAATCATTGATTAATAGCTTATAAATGTAATTTTCAAATGTTAATGTTTTTCCATTTAATATAGAATAACTTCTAATTTCTGTCTTGCAAGGCTTTCTGTGTAATTTAGTTATGGTTAACTGATTGTCTATCACATGGTATGTGTTTTTGTGGAGAAATAGTGGCTTCCACTCCATTTAAGTACCTAAAATTGATTTCACTTACTTTTATCGGAATATTTTCTAGCTTCAGTAAATGGTTCATTTGTGGACGGAAAGCAGAGCAAATTAGTACCTCCTACAGACGGTAATATCCTTTTTTTTTTTTCTAGAGACCAGAACTGAAGGAATGGCGTGTTGAACTTCCTTAGAAACAGAGCTGATGGTCTTATCTGAGGGCCAGCCTTGTGCTCATTAAGACAATAGGGTAATGTGAGTGCTGTGGTGTGAGGACCCTGAATGACCCTGCCCCTCCTCCTCCAAAGCTGTTCAATTCCATTTGAAGATTGCGGAGCTTTCTCTCTCAGGCACTGTGCTAGGCTTGGTGGGGAACACAAAAATGAGCAAGATAAGCAAGACTATCAAAGGGCCCTCGGGGAGCTTAGTTTTTTGGGGGAACCCAGACCTGAGTATAGCTATCATAAAAGCAGAGGAGATAAGCATTCACATCAAGTGTACCAGGAGTGTAGAGGAGGGAGCTGTTAAGCACCAAGGCTCAGAGAAGGCTTCACAGAGGATGCAGCATGTAAATTGGGTCTTAAAGGAAGAGGAGTATTTTAATAGACAAAGAACATTGTGTAGGGCGTCCTAGACCATGGGAACAATGTGAGCAAAGACATAGAAATGCAATTGTGCTAGGTGTTTCCTTTCTGGAGTGTGGGGGCAGTATGGGGGTGAAAAGATTGCAAAGGTGAGTCAATTTGAAAAAGAGGGCTTTCAAAGCCAATACAAAGACATTTAATCATATTCTTTAAACAGTGAGAGATCTCTAAAGAGACCTCTCTTAGAGTTAAGTGAATTAGACTTGTGTTATAGAAAGATGTACCTGGTGGCAATGTAAGGCATGAACTGAGGAGAAGAGAGTCTTGATACAGAGACAGACATTACGAGACATTTGCAATAATCTAGGTGCACAGTGATGGGGACTTAAAGTAGGGTACGGTAGTGAGAAAAGAAAGGAAATGCCCAAAATCCAATTGGGATTTGTCTGTGTGCATAGGGCTGGATGAGACTGGAAGATATTTATAGACAAAGGAGGCAGAAAAGATGGGATATGACTGCTGGTTCTGGAGCAAATATGAGAATCTACCCTCTATCTTCTCAGTGAAGTAGGAGTTGAAATCACCCTAGCTGATCACAAGAATGTATTTGTTAGACTGGTGCCAAGCCCATTGAATGTGGGAAGTGACTGGCTATTGGTAAATTGTTACAACAGCGATGAGAAAAGAAAGAATAGGATGAAGAAAAGGTAAAACGACAGCAATAACATAAGAACTATCATTATAGGTGAAGGGTGATTGACTGAAGGTCATAAAATGGAGGAAGGTGAAAGACAGAATATCCACCCTGCTTGGAATCCTCACCATTGGAGTTAATTCTTTGGATACTGTGCCCCTGTAAAATGCATATGTTTATTTGATTAGCTAGTACTTTCCTTTAAAAAAATAGAGTCAGATCTTAAGGATAAATATTAGGCAAAAACATTAAAGCCTTCCACTGCTTACAAGCTAAAGTTCACAATCCTAAGAGCAGCAGAAGAGCATTTACAACTCATTATCTCACCAGTCTCTTACCTTTCTGGTTTTATCTTCAGCATCTTTCCGTTGTGCACATATATGCTTACCCACACCCACATGTAGCTGTTCTCCAACACGCCATGTTCTTGCTTACCTCTAAGCTTTTGCCAAGTTGGAGTTTCTCTCTGCAAGGGGATGCCACCTGGAGTGGTGGAAAGAGCATGGGTTGAACCGCCCTCTCAAATCTGCTGTAAGATCCTCTTTCTTCCTTTATCTAGTTATATGATCTTTATCTGACCATGAAGTGCAAAGGCTTGAGTACATTATAAAACAGGCGGGTGACACTGAAACAGGATATGAGAGATATTAAATGCAGAGTTTAGAAAAAATGAGCTTCATCCACATAAAATTTTTGCCCTGCCCCAGCTGGTTCTGCTCATGATAAAGAGATGAAATCACTAACACTCACCTCTGTTACAGGTGAGCTGTAACAGATGCACCTGATCACCTCTCAGCAAACCCCTATCAGTCATGGACACATGTCAGGTTATGGGAAAGGGTGAGCTTCTACATTGGAAGATGCTCGCAGGTCTAAATTTTTACTTTAAAGTGTGGAAAAAGAGGTCGATTCTATATTTAATCCTGATAATTGTATTGAATGTATGGAAACAAAGTCTGTGGGCAAATTTCATAGCTGAACCATCTGGGAGAGTATATGTGACGGAATAGGAAGGAAGGGAAACTCGTTCAAAGGCCACATACGATAGTATGACACATTTGCAATAAGTTCCTTTTTCAGAAAATATACAGAGGAAAACAATTCTTGTTTTTTCTTTGTATTGTATTTATATACTATACTACTTTTTCACTAGAAATAAATACTTCTAGCTTCTCTTTCTACCAGGCATCATTTTACTTTTTTGTGGAATGGTCCAACTGATACAATTACAGATTTCACTGACTTCATTATTCTCTGAAGAGAAATTAAGCAAAAAAAAAAAAATCCAGCTTGCTCAACCTGATGCCATCTTAGTTATTTTTAATGCAAGTACCGTATACTTTCCATATTTATGTTTGTCTTAAGTGTCACCCTTTAGAGATAGGCATTTAGTTCTGATGTTATTGATTTTTTTGCTTTCATCAAAACTTAGGAAGAGAAAACCACATCCATTTTCTTTCCTGGGGAACATGAATTGTATGATAAATCTAATAGTCTCTATGACCAAAAGATTAGATTTAGAACATTGTCTTTTTCTTTTAATTTAGATTCTGTTTTCTTCTCTGTTGTTTTATAGATATCAAATCCCATGAATTAATTTCAAAATACTTAAAAAATTTGTCAGACATACAACATGTGTGTTTTCCTAATGAAACATAATACAGGATAAAATTGGTTAATCTTCAGATGGATTTAATATGTTATATGTATTTCATAAATGTTAATTTCTTATATAAATCTAATATTTCTGGAATTATATCACCAGCAAAGTAATGTTTCAGTACAACTTCGTGTAATATGCTGTGGATAAATTTAACACACGATGAAGTTCTTTCTCAAGCTTTTCTTTTGTTATTCTCCGTGTGTGTGTGTCTGTCCAGTTAACACTTCTGTGTCTGTACCTGTGGTTATGAAGAGGGCTCTATTGCCCTCCCAACCTGTTGACAGCTGTGGTGCTAACAACATGGGAAATAATCCTCAGAGACAAGCTTTCCTGCATCAGAGCCTACAGGAGAGAGAAAAATTAGACCAAAAGGAAACTGTCTGATAAGAGAATAACCTGGGCCTCCAGATCTGATGAGAATCTTACCCTTCAGATTGATCCCGTGGACATCACTCATGATGAGTATTACAGGTGTCAAGTGGTAACATCTTACGGGAATTTTCTTCATGGATATCACCTCCAAGTGTTAGGTAAGGAACATCATAGATTGTAGTATTTCAGATAACCAGATTTGGCACTGAAATGAATGTCTCTCTAAATTCCATATCCATGTGTTAAGACTGAAGCTCTTTTCCCTATGTATCTGCAGTGCCCCCTGAGGTGACCCTGTTTCAAAGTAAGAATAGAACTGCGGTGTGCAGGGCAGTTGCAAGGAAGCCAGCTGCACAAATCTCCTGGACCCCAGAGGGAGACTGTGTCACTGAGCAAGAATATTGGGACAATGGCACAGTGACCATCCAGAGTACCTGCCACTGGGAGGACTGCCATGTGCCTACGGCGTCCTGCACTGTCTCCCATGTGACCGGCAACAAGAGCCTGTCCTTAGAGCTAAACCCTGGTAAGCACCTGTTTTTTTAGAGTAGTGGACTTGGTGCTCAGCCTTTCCCTCTATAGAAGATTATGAATTACCAAGTACACGGTAGGAAGCCTGTGCTCCTAATTTGAAGATATTCTCTAAAACTTAACTGGGTAATGCATTAGCATGCTAGACAAATTGTTCCTACTCCCTTATCAAACAGAAAGAATTCATTTAATAACAATTTACCAGTACATTCTCTACATATCTTTATTCTGGTAGCCATAAAAGTATTATTTGCTAACTTAGTAATCTGTAGACTTTTACTTTGAGGTTGATTATTGGTACAAATTATCAATACTTTTATATAATTAAACAGTACTTAGTAGATAGCAAAAAAGCAGTAGTTATTCTCTTCCTGAGTTTTCTGTCACCACTTTGTTACCCTGAGTAAGAGATAAGTTTTCTTTCTCCCTCTCCCTTGTCATCGGTAACCAATCCATCAATTCATTCACCAAATATTTATTGAATGTTATTATACATTTAAAGCTGGTGATACAAAGATGAAAAGACAAGGTCCATGTTTTCATATCGTTCCAGGGAGTATAATCTGGTGATTAGGAGCAAAGCCTTTGGCATAAAATGGCTTCTCATTTGCCAGCTGTGCGACCTTGAACAATATTTAATTTCTCTGTCCCATGATCTCTTCATCTGTTAAATGAGGATGATGGCACCTACCTCATAGGGTTATTGTGTTAATTAAATAAAATAATATACATAGTTAACACAGTGCCTAACACATAGTTAGTACTCAATATATATTAGCTATTGTATTAACAAATGTTAGCTATCAATAAGTGTTAGCTATTGTATTTATTATAGTATACATTGGCTATTATTACTAAAAATCATCATATCCTATTAATTATTCCTCATAATGTCTCTCACATTGATTCACTGTCATTGATTGAAACATTATTATGTGGAGCATGACTATATTCACAGAGTTGTGCAACCATCACCACAATCAATTTTAGAACATATTCATCACTCCAAAAAGAAAACCTATGCCATTTAGCTATCACTCCTTAATCCCACCACTCTTCCAGCATTAGGCAACCACTAATCTACTTTACGTCTCTATAGATTTTCCTATTTTGAACATTTCATATATATGGAACCATATGATATGTGGTCTTTTGTGACTTCTTTCACTTAGCATAAGTGAAAGCATAAGTTTTCAAGGATCATCCATGTTGTAGCATGTATCAGTACATTCGCATCTATTTTTTATTTTCCACTGTCAATCTCCCGCTTGCTCTAGGCTCTTATTTTATGCTTCTTGTCTCTAGATCTGTGCATTTATCTCCAGTCCTACCTGACTTTCCCTTCTGCAGACCAAACATTCAACCCACACTCTATACTTTTCCCCTTCCATGTCCTCAGAGGCTTTGCCTCATTAATTATCCTTGCTCTCTTTTGTTCAATCTTTTCTGTTCCAGAAATCCTTTCCCTAAGGCTGATTTTATAAACATGACTTTCTCCCCTCATGTTTAAAGCTAGATGCTGTGACTTCCTCAAGCTCTGAGCTCTTGCCTTCTACTCATATCCAAGATTTTTAAAAGAGGAATCTATACTTATCTTCTGTCACCTCATGTCTACTCCTTAACTCACTTATATCTATGCACAGAAAATGCTCTGACAAAAAGCACTAAAGATCTCCCAGATGCCAAGTGAGATAATAATTTTTAATTTCTTGTTATTAATTAGCTTATTTGTGATATTTGATATGATCTCTCCTCCCTTCTCATCTGTTTTCCTCCCTTTTTCACTTGGTTCTCTTCTTAACTTTCAGTCTACATCACAGTCTTCTTAAATAGATCACTTTGCGCCTCTTCATCCCATGAATGAAGGCATTTCTCCCATAGAATTCCATTGTTGGCCCTCTATTCTTTTCACCTTTACCCCGTTCTTTGAGCAATTTCATCCATACCTATGGCTTCAACCACTGCCTAATTCTTGACTCTCAAATATATATTTTTAGCCCAGATTTCTCTCCTTGGCTACACTAGGATCAAAACCAACTTCCAATTGCACAGCTTCACCTGGATGCACCAATGGCACCTCAACTTGCATATTCCTAAAATGGAATTCCTTTCCTCTACCCCTTCATAAGCTCCACACCTATATTTTATATCTTGATAAGTGACTCAAGCCAGAAACTTAAAGATATCGTACAACATCCTTCTTTTTATTCCTCATATTCAAAACCAATCACTATGTTTTGTTGATTTTTACTTTAAAGATCTTTTTAAAATATGGACTTTTCTCTTTATTCCCACTGCCTTCCTTGAGCACATAATTATCTCTCACCAAGATTATTGCAATGTCCCTGTAACAGTTCTTCTGGCCCCTAACTTACCTCCCTTCAATTTGTCCCCCACACTGTTGCCAGAGTGACTTTTCTAAAATGAAAAATATGCCACTCCCCTACTTAAATGCCCCTAGTGGCTTCTTTTTGTCTCATGGAAAGCTAAACCCCTTTGACAACCTCGACCTGTTGCTCTCCTTAGCCTCATGGCTTGCTCTTCTCCAGGCTGCACTCCATGCATGTGGGCATTTTGGACTCCTAAATGTGTTATGTTCTTCTTCCTCTGTTCTCTTTTACATGCAATTTCTACCTCTCCCTAATGCACTTCTCTGCCCATACTCTTCTTCCGTTCCATTTGATCAATTCCTAATGATGCATTAAGACTTAGTTTGATATTGTTCCTCTGGGATAATTTTCCCTTGCCCTACAGTTTGATTAGCTTTCTACTCTGTGCGCACATGATGCCACATGCATGCCTCTGTCAGAGTACTTCCATAACCCTGTAATTGACCGCCCACTTCTCAGACTCCCAGTGCAGTGTAAGCTCTTGACAGCAGGAACCACATCATTCATTTCCATATCCCCAGAGTCTGGCACAGTGCCTGACACATACAAATAACTGCAGAATTAGTTTCAGTTCATCACAGACTTCATCTCTATATTCCCGCTCTATGCTTCAAATATGACTTAACTCATCTTCAAATCTTGACTCAAGTTGTTTCTTTCCCTTAAAAAGTCCTTTCTTCTTCTCTTAACCTATTTAATCCTGCTATTGGCAAGGCCTGGTCAAATCCACTTCACCCTGACCTCCGAGTTAGAGGTGATTAAGCTTTCTTATTCCTTAGAGGATTTATAATCTGTAATGCTCACTTAGCACTATTTGCTCTCTTGTAAGTTATCTTTTCATTCGTATGGGTCTGACTTCTCCAATTGGATTGCGAGATTTTTTTTTGGTAAGGAAGATTGGCCCTGAGCTAACATCTGTGCTAATCTTCCTCTATTTTGTATGTGGGGCACTGCCACAGCATGGCTTGATGAGCAGTGTGTAAGTCCGTTCCCAGGATCTGAACCTGCAAACCCCAGGCTGCCGAAGAGAAGCACACGAACTTAACCCCTATGCCACTGGGCCGGCCCCTGGATTGTGAGATTTTTGAGGGCTCTGACCGTGTCTTCTTTTTCCCTTACGGTGCCTAGGAGATTGCCTGACATTCTTCCAATTTAGTATTTGAGCAGGTTATTTAACGGACGACCTGACATCTTGGAGCCAAGAGTCAGACTTGTACTTAGAGTTCACTTGCTCTTTTGGCTACCATTTTCATGGAAGGAAAGACTTCAGAGTAATTGTCCTAATTAATCCCATTTTACCTTTTCAACAATTTCCAAGACCATTTCACAGAAAAACAAATGAAAGTAGTAAAACACAAAATACCCTATTTACAGCAACTCAGTGACAAAATCACTTCACTGTGTGGAAAGTATTATCAGATAGTGCTCAAAATACTAAGAATAACACCCCCAAAGACTAACATTTACACAGGAAGTTAGAAAGTACATTTCCTTTTGTAAAAAAAAATAAAATTGGGAAGTATTAGCAATGCTTATTGCACATTTATTCATTTAGAAAATATTTATTAAAACTTACCATTTACAAACACAGACGTGGGTCCTAAACTCTGTCACAAAAGAAGGCTACTTTAACAACGTTAGAATTGTAATCTAGAAGGTGTTTTGATTATGATAGTTTGTGAAATTTTAGGAACATTTTAAAAGGCTCTTTTAAACCATTGACTGTAATTTGTTAATTAGAAGAATCCTTGGAACGGCTCTTTACCCCCGCCTGTGTTGCCTGTGATTAAAGGTCTCAGAACCCTAAGATTTCCAGCATCATCCTTACTGATCATTCTCTATGAGAGATTCGTTCTTTTCTTGGTTATACTGGTCATCATGGGATGCATCTATTTCCAGAGGATTAATGGTTGCAGTTAGGAGCTGAAGACTGAAAAACATAGGACTCATTAGAAAGAAACCATCATTGTAAGACTTTGAGTTTACAATGTCCTGGGAAAAGCTTGACACATTTTTTCGTGCGTTGTGCTTGTTGGCCAGCCCCTCCGTTGACATAAAAGCTTGGTTAACAGCTGAGAGCCCAGCCAGAGGTGCCTGCAGCACCGGGGCACGAGCTTCTGCTTCACTGTAGTTTTTCCCTGGGAGAGACCCATCCTAGACCACCCTTTGAGAATTCCATGGGAGAAATGAAATTTGGCTGGGACTTCTTAAGTGTTTACTTCCCAGTTTCTCTGCTTCTGAAGGCTTGTATTCATTCCTGCTGAATTATATATTTTATGTTTTTTTCTAGAGCACGAAAGTAAAAAATCTGGAAGTCGATTTAGACTTGAGGAGATATCACAAAGAAGCAGCCAGTTGAAATCAGCCTTCGGGTTCAACATCTACTTCAACGGCTCCCGTTACTCTTTGACAACTTTGTGTTTATAAGAATTGATGGGATAGTTGGCAAGGCCCATTTCAAACTCTTAGCACACATATGTATGCCCATGCAAAAGCTTGCTGCCTGCCATCATCAGTGCCTAGGATGACTCATCTACTCTCCCCTTTGCCCTAGTGAGTTCTTATTTGCAAAGGAGAAGCAACCTTGCTTCTCAGAATAAAGAGGAAGATGGGTCAGCAAAAAGCAAATAGCCATGCTGTGCAGTTTTTCTCCACTCCTCGGGGTTCTTTGGATGGTTCTTTCATCCTAGCTTCTTGTTTCCTCCGCCCACTTGAGATGCTAATCAATGTTGCAATGGCAGGAGCCACTGCAAACACCTCCTCCAAATCAGCTAGTCGCTGACCCTTCCACCCCTTTCTCGCTTGCTAGCAATTAGTGGTGTAGTTGTGTTGCATATTTGGACTGATCATCGAATAAATGGTCAGGAATCGTTTTCAGCACTTACCTGCATTTTTGAAGAAATTATAAGCTGGTCCCAAATAAGGAGCTGTTAGACTCACTGGAGATGGCACTGAATGTCATCTCACCTTTTAGAGCTCCAATGTCTCAATTCCCTTTCTCAATTCTTTCTTGTCTGCACTCCAGGTTGGAATAGATTAATGGTGGTAGGAGTAAGAATGCTTGCTGAAACCCTAACATCTTCTAGGGCCACTGTAAAGAGGAAACCTATCTTCACTGATACATATGGTAATCCTATAGTAAAAAGTGTCCTTTTATTTAAAAGAAAAATTTCTTGCATAAAGTGGCAGGTGATTTGGGCTACTAGTTTTATTTTTAGCAAAACTCTAAGGGAGAAAATTAATGCATACTGTCTAGAGGATACTAAATAAGTAGGATAGTCTAATTGTTGAAACAAACAACCCCAAAATCTCAGTGTGTTCATACCACAAAAGTTTAATTCTTGTTCGCTTCACATTCCAATGCAGGTTGGTGGGGCTAGGGCAGGGAGCAGGAGTGGTTCTACTCTAAGCTAGCATTTTATCCTATGACTCTGCTCTTCTCAGAGTATTCTCCATTCAGCTGGTGAATGGGTGACAGAGAGAGAGAGAAAGAGAGAGAGAGAGAGAGAGAGAGAGAGAGAGAGAGAGAGAGAGAGAGAGAGAATGGAGGTTTTATGTGGGAGGTTTTCATGAAGCAGGCCTGGAATAGTAATCACTACTGCTCACATTCTATTGGCTGGTAATTTTTACGTGGCCACACTAACTTCTATGGAAGTTGGAAAATGTAGTGTAGCTGGATTTGAAGAAATAGAGTCAGGTTTTGGCTACATATAGCCTACAGTAAAGGATAGGACAAATGCTAAGATTAATACCTACTCCATTAGTAATTGAACATGAGTCAAGAAATAAATTAGTAAATAACGCCATACATAACTTATATTGGCTCTTTTCTTTCTTTCTTTTTTATTTTAATTTCCTCATGTTTAAAACAGAGCATAGAACGGAAAAAAGTCTAGTACTACAATTCTGTCACAGACTCGAAAATACTGTGGCACTGATTGCTAGCTGCCTGGTCCAATGCTCATCTTCCTCTTTCTCTTTGTGGTGGATGATTATATTCATGACTCAAAATCTTCACCCCTGAGAGGCGGAGTCAAGATGGCGGCGTAGGCAGACTCTGAACTCACCTCCTCCCGTGGACACAGCCAATTTACAACTACTCGTGGAAAAATTACCCCTGAGACAGAAC